TAAGCACACCAAATCGCATCCAACAAATCATCAATCAGGGGAAGGGGGTACACATCCTTGATCGTGATGTCGTTTACTTTCCTATAATCGATGCATATGCAAATCGACCCGTTTTTCTTCGGAACTAGAACTACGGGGAAAGACCAGGGTCCGGTAGATAGCTCGATCCATCCATTAGCCTCGATTCTCGGATCCGCTCCAATGCCGTTTTCCGTTCTGCGAGAGAGTATCGGTACAGTTTGGAGTGAATAGGCGGATGGGTTCCCGTTTGGATTTCATGTAGAATAACCGACGACAGTCCGATATCCGTGTCTTTGACACTAATCGCCCCTTGATATTTGGTCAGGATGTCCACAATCAGTCTATGAGTTTCATCGGGTGCATACGTGGGCACATGTAGTTCATAAAGTTGTCCGTGTATGTTGACCGTCACTTGTTTTGTGCCCCTCTTTGTACCGCTCTTCCGGGTGGGGAAGCCGAAAAAAATGAGTTGACACTTATCTGATCGCCAGGAGAACACCGTGGCAACCAATTGGGCGTCTTCCTCCCGGATTGCCACGTGTTCTTCCGGTGTCACGCCAACATCGATGTCTCGCAAGCTTACAGGTTTCTCTACGATCTTGATCCCAAGTTCGTGAAGGTTGCCACGCCTAGGGGGTTCCAAAGCTTCACTCTCGGCGCCCTGTCGCAGCAATCGGACCTGCTTCCATGCAGAGAGAAAGAAACGAGGTAGTCCCGTAACATCGCCGAACGCCTTCTTGTTACAATATCTCGAGAGAAGCAGGGTGGTGGCTTCGTACAAGGTCCGAGGGGGTTCCAAAGAATCAGCCATCCGAGATACTTGTATCAATGGTTCCGTTAGGATTAGAGCCCGCGTCCGTTGGAGGTTTCTTTCTGTAAGGACAAATGTTTTCATCGTTTTCTGTCGGACAGGATAGCGAGTCAGTTGATGCGCCATGTCCCAGATCGCTGGGTTTGCTTTGTCCTCATTGTCAGAGAAGTTGATTGACAGTTCGGATCTCTGTTCCCCTTGGTCTGTTTTGTTGAGGGGTTCTTTCCAGGTGATCACATGAAGCGACTTCCCGATCCCGGGAGGGGTTTTCTGAGTCGTAGGTAGCGTAGTTCGGAGAGTTAAACGCATCGGGATAACATATGGTTTCCCTCCCGTATTCCGAAGGACGATTGATCGCCTTTCGAAATCCAAGTTGGTTCGTAGTGCGGTGAGGGCCGGTAACCCCAAGAGGACGTCGTATGTGTTTACATCCAATACTACGACATCCTCCAAGGCGTGAACTTTTCCTAATCGAAATGCAACGTTTGTCATCCTTTCCACCACCTTGATCTTTTTTTCGTCAGTAGAGACGAGGTGGTCTCCTTCCGCTAACGGGATCAGATCTTTTCTTCTCCTTCACAACCCTCAGAGAGATGGCTATAACCGCGGCCCTTGAGTCGATGATAGCGCTGTATGAATTTTCCCAGACATCTATGTCGCATTCCGCGGATTTTCACAGAATGACTTTAATGAGCAGGAAACAGTCGTCCTTTTGGATTAGTCCTAAACGTATCGGATCCGAGGTGCTGGGGCCATCCGACCTGTCTTCTTGGATGGGGGCTTTCCCTTTGATGGCGGCTTGTTTAGCAAGGACAAACCGTTTTCGGTTCGCCTTGCAATGCTGTATCATTCGTTCATTTGTTTGTTCCGATATGGATAGCAAATGTCCGTTCGGCAAGGGAATTTGGTGATCCAGGGCTTGGACGATTTTTAGGACATCGATTTCTCCCGTAACAAAAGCAGGACCACCCGACTCTATTTCCTCGAGAGATGGTCTCCACTCCGTTACTTCTCGTTGTTTATGGGCGGGACGGATAGTTACAATCATTCCCAATCCCGGATAGCCTGGTGAGACGTATTGATCGAGCGGAATAAGTTTCGCCGCTTCCCCGGTAGTGACTATCGCACTCCCCCCTCCTTTGATCTCCTCCACCATTGTGCCTACCCTTCCTGGTCCGTTGGCCACCGGTGTTGCTGCTGCAGGCTATGTATCCCCCGCGGTCATGACCGCGGGGTCAATCTCGGCCAGCAGTCGGGATCCAGACCGCTGAGGTTGGCCCTTGAGGTTATTGCGGCCGAGAATTTTAAACATTTAAAAAAATAATAATAATGGACCAAAAAAAACAAAAAAAAAAATGGGGTTATAGGGTTTGAAGAGACCTACAACGCGGTGATTTTTTTTTTTTTTTTACAAGTGTTTTCTTATTTAAAAAAAAATAAACAAAAAAATACGTATTTCAATTAAAAAAAACGTAATAAAAAAAGGAAATTTTAATTTTTCGTGTGTGTGTGTGTGTGTGTGTGTGTGCTTGATTGGTGGGGAAGGGCAACCCGTTCCCCACCAATCAATCAATCAATCAATAAATCAATCAATCAATCAATCAATCAATCAATCAATCAATCAATCAATCAAAAAAAAAAAAAGGAAAAAAAAAAAAGTGTGTGTGT